GATGGGATCCTGGACTCATAGTGGGCTCCAACTTAAGCTCAAAGAATGGTTAGCAATCTGAAGCAGGGAAATGCACACAGATGTCATTGTTTGGACTACGTCTCTATATGTCTTGTTTGGGAGCTTTTGCAAAGTCAGTGTGTTATGTGCTTTTCCTGTCACGTGTCCCTAGAGAGGTCACCTGTAACCCAGAGCACCCACAAAGTTGGAGCTCTTGGAAAGGGGGAGCTTAAACTACTGGAATGGCCGTGGGGTCCTGGAGGCCTAGAGTGGCTGGACTGCGAGCTCCCATTTCCATGAAGTGTGCCAGAGAGGCCAAAGAAAGAGGCAGTGCTGGAGCCTACTCAACCTTGGAAAGCTTAAAGCACATGGCTCTAGACCCATGCATAGTAGCCTGGTGAGTGTCCGGCAGAGAGAGCTTTAGTGGGGCTGTGACAAATATCCACGGAAGCTCTCTGCTGTATTGGCTGCAGACGGGCCCAGTTTCATAGGATTGACAACAGTCCCGTATCTTTAGGGATGCCCCTTATTTAAATAAAAAATTGCCTGTCCCAAACTAAATCAGTACTGAGTGCCTTTTATCATCTGTTTCAATGTAGAGTGTTGCCAGAGCAGTCCAGAATTTGGCCTGGCCTCCCCTCTGTCATGCACGGAGGGGCAGCTAGGTCAAATTTGAATAGCACTGACAGAGGGGCACTACCAAGAAACTGGTCCTGTATTTTTTAAATACAATGTTGGCAACCCTACTGTCACTCCGTGTGCTGTACAATGCTGAAAGCTGTAACAACTCTGTTTAACTGAAAATATGAAGTATGAACACTGGCAACACCCATTTTTTCATGTTCTCTGTGTATATATATTTTCCTACTGTATCTTCCACTGCATGCATCCGATGAAGTGGGTTTTAGCCCATGAAAGCTTATGCTCAAATAAATGTGTTAGTCTCTAAGGTGCCACAAGGACTCCTCGTTCTTTTTGCTGAATGGTGTGAGTTTGATTTCTCCATGCCAGGCTCCTGTGGAAATATTTGTCCCATTGGTCCTCGCCCTGGCTCTCTTCCATTCCATGGAATGGATCATTGGGAGCAACCTGGGGGTTAGTTTGGTTGTGATAATGCCTGGAACTCATATAATGCCTCCTATGGGATCTCAAAACACATGCAGGACAGGCTTTCATTTCCTCCTCTGCAATGTTGAGATGATAATTCCTCTGCAACACAGGTGCTGCACTCGCTGCCTGCAAAGCCCTTTGAGATCCACAGACAACGGTGCTAGGGAAATGAAAAATATTAATAATTCACCCTCTCCACTGCCTGCTCCATACCAACCTGCTGGCAGAACCAGAAGAAGATTTTGGGGGCAAATTCACACCACAGTGAATTCAGAGTAGCTCAGTTGCAGTCAGTGGAGTTACACCAGGGTAGATGAGAGTAGAGTCTGGCTCATTTGCTGACTCAGGTGTACCATCACCTAAAGTATTTACCAAACTGCTTAATGTGCAATGAGGTTTTTGGATCTCAGCCAAGTTCCCAGAAGGCAGGTGCCCAAACACTGCCCACATCCTAAAATCACCATCACAGTTAATAATAGATGGCAATACCAGCAGAGTTGCTAAGAACTGAGATGATCATACCCTTCTCCAAAGAAACATTTGTGTCCCATACGTGGAATATCAAGGTTTAATAAGGAAGTGGAGGGCCCCTCACCATGGACTCTTACCTTCCAGTGCACAGGTGAGAACAAGGAGCTATGGAGTTATAAATGGAATGGAAAAGCTTTGCACATTCTCAGAGGAACTCAGAGTGGCCTCCTCCATGAGGGAACTGCACAAACAAGACCAAGCAACGAGAAGACCCTGCCCTTGGCCAGATCCTGATAGGGCTTATCTACCCTCCAAAATTACTTCCTGCTGGAAAAAATCCTAACGAACATGACTTATCACTCAGTGTAGCAACGGACTGTTGGGTGTAACATAGCCTCATCTGGTCATGGTTAATCATTGAGTGGATCATAGGGCTAACTGCAATCTGCTGACACAGTGTTAAACAGAACTGATGTTAGTTCTAATATGGAACAATCATAAGATGGCAATCTGGCTCCAGCAGGAGCTCTTTAATAACCTGAAAATAGAAAAGGAATCCTACATAAAGTGGAAATATGGTCAAATTGCTAAAGAGGAATGCAAAGAAACAGCACAAGTATGTAGGGACAAAATCAGAGAAAGGCTAAGGCACAAAGTGAATTACACCTGGCAAGTGACATAAAAGGCAATAAGATGTTTTTTAAATACATTAGGAGCAAGAGAAAGACCAAGAAAAGTGCAGGTCCTCTACTTCGCGGGGAAGGAGAGCTAACAAATGATGACATCAACAAAGCTGAGGTGCTTAATGCCTAGTTTGCTTCAGTAGTCACTAAAAAGGTTAATGATGACCAGATATTGAACACAATTAATATTGACAACTAAGGGAAGGAATGTAAACCAACATAGGTAAAGAATATTTAAATAAGTTAGATGTATTCAAATCAGCAGGGCCTGCTGAAATTCATCCTTGGATACTTAAGGAACTAGCTGAAGCAATCTCGGAGCTGTTTTCAATTATCTTTGAGAATTCCTGGAGGACAGGAGAGGTCCCTGAAGACTGGTGAAGGGCAAACATAGTACCTATCTATAAAAAGAGGAACAAGGAGTAACCAGGGAATTATAGACTAGTCAGCCTAACTTTGAAACCTGGAAAGATATTAGAGCAAATTATTAAACAATCACTTTGTAACCATCTGGAGGATAATAGGGTTATAAGGAACAGTCAGCATGGATTTGTCAAGAACAAACCATGCCAAACCAACCTAATGTCCTTCTTTGATAGTATGACTGACCTAGTGGATAGGGGGAAGCAGTAGACGTGATATATCTTGATTTTTTAAGGCTTTTGATGCATTCCCACATGACATTCTCATAAGCAAACTAGGGAAATGTGGTCCAGTTGAATTTACTATAAGGTGGGTCCACAACTGGTTGAAAGATCAAACTCCCAGAGTAGTTATCAATGGTTTGCTGTCAAATTAGAAGGGCATATCTAGCGGGGTCCTGCAGGGGTCATTCCTGAATCCGATACTATTCAATATTTTCATTAATAACTTGGATAATGGAATGGAGAGTATGCTTATAAAATCTGCAGATGACACCAAACTGGGAGGATTTGCAAACACTTTGGAGGACAGGTTTAAAATTCAAAATTGGTCAGAATCCAACAAGATGAAATTCAGTGAAGACAAGTGCACAAGGTTTAAACTAATGCACACCTACAAAATGGGGAATAACTGGCTCGGAGGCAGTACTGCTGAAAAGGATCTGGGGGTTACAGTGGACCACACACTAAATAGGAGTCATCAATGTGATGCAGCTGCAAAAAGGGCTAATATGATTCTGGGGTGTATTAATAGGAGTGTCATATGTAAGACACAGGATGGCATTGTTCAGCTCTACTTGGCACTGGTGAGGCCCTAGCTGGAGTACTGTGTCCAATTCTGGGCACTACAGTTTGGGAAGGATGTGGACAAACTGGAAAGAGTCCAGAGGAGAGCAACAAAAATGATCAAAGGTTTAGAAAACCTGATCTATGAGGAAAGGTTGAAAAACGTGGGCGTGTTTATGCTTGAGAAAAGAAGACCGAGGGGCGAGCTGATAGTCTGCCAATATCATAAGAGCTATTACAAAGAGGACCATGATCAATTGCTCTCCATGTCCACTGAAGGTAGGACAAGAAGTAATGGGCTTAATCTGTGGCAAGGGACACTTAGAAAGTTTTTCCTAGTATTTAACCTACCTCTAAGGGTATGTCTACACTACGGGATTAATCCGAATTTAGATAATTCGAATTTGGGAAACAGGTTGTATAAATTCGATTGTGCGCGGCCACACTAAGCACATTAATTCGGTTTTTAACCACATTAATTCGGTGTTGTGCGGCCACACTACCCCATTAATTTAAACACAGTAATTCGGTGGTGTGCGGCCACACTAACCCTAATTCGAATTAACAAAATTGATTTAGGCGCTACTCCGCTCGTCGAGGTGGAGTACAGAAATCGATTTAAAGCACCCTTTAATTCGAATTAACTGGCTCTGTAGTGTGGACGGGTGAAGGGTTAATTCGAATTAACGCTGCTAAATCCGAATTAATCCCGTAGTGTAGACCAGGCCTAAGGGTAGTTAAGCTCTGGAACAGGCTTCCAAGAGAGGTTGTGGAATCCCCGTCATTGGAGGGTTTTAAGAACAGGCTGAACAAACACCTGTCAGGGAGGATCTAGGTTTACTTGGTCCTGCCACAGTGCAGAGGGCTGGACTTGATGACTTCTCAAGGTCCCTTCCAGCCCTACATTTCTAGGAATCTATCATGCAGTTTGCAGCAGAGACGAGGCCATAGTAGCAAAAACAACCCAACTGGTCTCAACTGTACTGGTGGAACCTGTGTCAAAAGATGATCCTCAGCTCTTGATCACAAGAGCCGTGGGAAAGGGGAATGAGATGGTCTTTTAGGGTCCAATCAAACCGCTAAGCAAAAAGGGGTGGATTTTAATGCATCACATTTCCATGCTCAGGAAACCTGTCTCTTAAAATGCACCCCTTTTTTCTTTGGGGTTTGATTTGAGCCTGAGACACCAGCTCGTTCCCCCTTTCCCATACAGGGAACTTAACAAAATGATCCTTTAGCCTAGTTTGTTAAAGACCAGCCAGTGACTGTGCCCACGCGGGATGTGTAAAGCCCCCCCCATGCTTTTGTTGCCATCCACTTCCCTAAATACACAATTAAATTATCTTAATATCAGTTTTGTTGCAAAACATGGTGAAGAATTTCCGTGCTAAGGCAAGACCTCAGCCACTTCCTCATGCAGCTTCAGTGTCGATAGGAGAGAGCTCAGAGAGATGACACTTCCTAAAAATCCATTTCACGTTCCATACGATATTCCAGCAATGCCCCTTCTGTGGGCTTGAAGACAGGCATGGAGCTGAGATTCCTGCTGCTGCTGCTGCTGCTCTGCATCTCAGGTAAGAGGAAGAATGATGTGATACTTGGGGGGGAGGCGGGTTACATGGACATTCCATGTCAGGGGCAGGTGGGATCTGGGGTTCTATTTTCCCTTCTTGGTTTGTCAAATATGCTGTGAAATGTGCGAGAAACAGCACAATAAGGTGCGTGAGGATCCCTGCCAGACAAATACCTCAAGTGAAGTAAATCAACACCAGAGCTCTGCTGAAGTCAATGGGGCTGCACCAATTTACACCACATACTGGAAACTCCAGGTTCAATGGGTAAACATTCTTGAGCACCCACTACACACCACACAAATGTAGCCCTGCAAAAATACGGGTGGCGAGCTCTATTTTGTTATTAATTTGCAATTTTCAGAGTGACATTCTGGGCCAGATAATCAGAGTGCATCATCTGCCATCACGAATTGGCATCATTTAAAGTTAAGGAATTGATGCCGATTTACAGCAGCTGAATACCTGGCCCATGGGTGTCCAGTTTCCATTAGAAGCCAATTATTGATGTGACAGATCAAGGCCTCTAAAATGTCACTAAAATGACACTAAAATGTCTCCTTGGATTCAATTCTGATAAAATATTTTTGTGGGCCTGTGATGACTTATTTGCATAGACTCTAGGGTGCGCAGGGCACTTTCCTATTAGTTAGGCACAAGAGGAGCCTTAAAAAGATCTGAAGGAAATTCCCCCTAACAAAACAAACATACAGGAAGTGGGAATTCCTTTGGGAGTCATCAGGGAAGCCCAAATTTGCAATACAAAACTGGCTTAATTCCAGTGGCAGCAGTTCTACAATACTTCAAAGCACCCCTCAGGCCGAGCTCTATAGAAAACGTTATTGTGTAAGTGTGACTGCATCTCTCTCCTCGACCCTCTCCACCTTTCTCGTATCACTTGTCTTCTTAAGCCCCTTCTAAGCTCACTGCAGGATAAGTCTATAAACTGTTCCTATGTGTTTGTACAGCCCCTAGCACAATCAAGCCTTGATCCTTGATTTTTGGATCTTTTCTACATTTTCAAATATATCGATTTCAATTACAACACAAAATACAAAGTGTACAGTGCTCTGTAACAAACAAAAAAATCTACATTTGTAAGTTACACTTTCACGATAAAGAGATTGCACTACAGTACTTGGTGAGGTGAACTGAAAAATACTATTTCTTTTGTTTATCATTTTTACAGTGCAAATATTTGTAATAAAAAATAATATAAAGTGAACACTATATACTTTGTATTCTGTGTTGTAATTGAAATCAATATATTTGAAAATGTAGAAAAACATCCAACATTTTTTAATAAATTTCAATTGGTATTTTATTGTTTAACCGTGTGATTAAAACTGCGATCAAGCACGATTGATTTTTTTGAGTTAATCGCGTGAGTTAATGGCGATTAATCAACAGCCCTAATTGTATGCTCTTTGAGGCAGGGACTGAGTGACAGGATGGAATGACCACGAAATACCTCAGGACTGTCCAACGGGGGCCAGCCACCTCCTGAGCACCCCCTCATGGCCAAAGGTTGCTGTACAGGGGCCCAGGCTCAGGCACTTCCCAACTCTTCCTAGCTGGAGTTACGCTCTTGGGCTCAGGGTCTTCCCTGCAGAAGCGTTTCTCGCTCCACTCCCTGCCATCTCTCTACAACTTCCTGATCATCCCCTCTCTGCAGCATCCTGCTGCCCTTTATAGGAGACTCAGGGTATGTCTACACTACGGGATTAATCCGAATTTAGATAATTCGAATTTGGGAAACAGGTTATATAAATTCGATTGTGCGCGGCCACACTAAGCACATTAATTCGGTTTTTAACCACATTAATTCGGTGGTGTTCGGCCACACTACCCCATTAATTTAACCACAGTAATTCGGTGGTGTGCGGCCACACTAACCTTAATTCGAATTAACAAAATCGATTTAGGCGCTACTCCGCTCGTCGAGGTGGAGTACAGAAATCGATTTTAAGTGCCCTTTAATTCGAATTAACTGGCTCTGTAGTGTGGACGGGTGAAGGGTTAATTCGGATTAACGCTGCTACATCCGAATTAAAGTCGTAGTGTAGACCAGGCCTCAGCTTCTCCACACCCAGCCGGTTCTACTACTTAAACCCCATATTCAGTCGCCCCCCCCCCCAGGTGTGGCAGCAGGCAGGGCTAATTGGACAGGCTAGCCAACTCCAGGCCTCTGGCCCTTAAAGGATCAGACCACCCCATTACAGGCTGCTTGTCACGTGATTCAGCAGGGTTTTAAAGGGGGGAGTGTCCTTTTACAAGGGCAGAGGGGAAGTTCTCTGGGTCTTGCAGCCTATTTGCCAGAGGGGGATAGCTTTTGTTTTGTGTTATCTTGTGAGGTTTTTTTAATAAACTGTGTCCTAAGGAAAGGGTCTGAAAAGAGACTTGAGTGTGGCACCCAATTCTTCCTGGGCAGTTGCAGAGTGCCTAGTACAATTCGGCCCCATTCTTGCATGGCCTCTCTGCATTACTGCAATAAATAGGATTGATAAGGATACGTGTAATAAAGGGATGAGCAGAAACTTTCCGGCTAGTTTCATTTTTCTTCAGTTGTGGAGCAGTCAGCTTCACCCAGCTAGAGATGTGTCCTAAATGATTTGAAATTAAAATAGTGGTTTACCCCAATGTGACATTGGAAAGGTCAGATGTTAGATGGGAGAGCAACGTTCCTAAAGTCACAGAAATGAGAGATTGAAAAGATCTACTGGAACATCCAAACCATCTCCATGTTAGTGCAGAGAACTGCCCAGCTCAAAGATCTGTGTTTATTGCCAGCTACCTACATGTAAATAGGCAGAGATGACACAGGGACTTTAAACAATCAGAGAAATTGAAATGCTACAAATAAGCAAAGAACATGGGAATACACACTGAGAAAACGTACTGTGTGCAGGGGACACATGCAGGAAATATTCCAGGATATGTTGCTATCTTTGAACGTGCTCCAGGCAGGTGGTAGGAGCAGGGCCGGATTAACTCTCCTGTGGGTCTGGGGCTATTAGATTTTGTGGGGCCCCTGTATACAAGTCTTTTTGCTAATTTAAAACAAAATGATCACAATTATGGCATCGAGGCTATTAACGCTATACTCAACTTGCCTTTTAATTAACATAAAGCTATTCTGTGGTTACATTTCAGTCTTAAAACATGTATAATACAGTAAAGTTAATTCAAAATAGCCTACTTCTTACTTTAGAACAGCTGTTATATTAGTTTCTTTCTGGGAGGGAGTTTGGTGCAGGAGGGAATTCTGACCTGGGGCAGGGGGTTGGGGTACAGGAGGGTGTGCAAGGGCTGGTCTACACCCAGCCGCTAGTTCGGCGGCTGGGGATCGAAGTTCTGGGTTCGACTTATGGCGTCTGGTCTGGACGCGATAAGTCGAACCAGGAAGTGCTCGCCGTCGACTGCGGTACTCCAGCTCGGCGAGAGGAGTACCGCGGAGTCGACGGGGAGCCTGCCTGCCGTGTGTGGACCGCGTCTGAACCGCGGTAAGTTCGAACTAAGGTATGTCGACTTCAGCTACGTTATTCACGTAGCTGAAGTTGCGTACCTTACTTCGACTTGGGGGGTTAGTGTAGACCAGGCCCAAGATGTAGGCTCTGGCCAGGAGGCGCTAACCACAGCAGCTCCTGCCCGGCGGCACAGCAGGGCTCAGGCAGGCTGCCTGCCTGCCTGCCATAACCCCACACCACTCCCAGAAGCAACCAGCTGCTGGCACGTCTCTGCACGCCCCTGGGAGGAGGAGGACAGTGTGTCTCCATGCACCGCCCGCGCCTGCCCCTAAAGCCCCTGTGTTAATCCAGCCCTTGATAGGAGAATGATTTGTAATTGCTGCTTGTACTGATTCATCTCCATTCTTCCCACCTCCAGTTCTTGGGCTGTGTTTAGTCCAAGCACTTGAGTGCAGGACACAGAGGGGGCAGCAGGCAGCCCTGCTCCATCCCAGCTCTTACTGAGCAGGTTTGGTGTTTTCCAGGATTCCAAGCACAAGAGTCTGACGCAGTGGAGAGCAGAGTGGAGGGGCAGAGCCTCGTTGTTGAGTGTCGCTACAGATCCCCGGATTACAGTGCAACACGGAAAACCTGGTGCCAGCTGAGAGGTGAAATATGCTCTCCCTTAGTTAGCACCTCTTACACATCATATGGATACAACAACAAGGTTGCCTCTGGAAGAACTACGATAGAGGATGACACCCGCAATGGGATTGTAACCATCACCATGGAGAAGCTGCAGGTGCAGGACTCCAGAGTGTACTGGTGTGCGCTCTATGACCCGCCCAATACACTGTATCCACTAACGACAATTAAATTGGACGTTTTCAAGGGTGAGTTAATCTCCTTTCAGGAGAACTGTCTTTTCCACTGATTATAATCCCAATTCCTTCCCCCACTTTATCATCTCTCTCCTGCCTGTATCGATTCCTCCTGCCGGCCCCCAGAATTTGTCACCCTCCACAAACCCTTGTTTCCTCTCTCCTGTCTCACACTGGGAACTGCTCTGAATCATCAGCTAACCTCAGCAATTCAGCCAACAGACCATTCCTGCTTCCTGTTAGAATAGTCTTTTCTTGTTTTCCCCTCTAATGGCTTCCTCGGCGGGAGGGGGCTGTCAATTTATATTGTAAAGTTTATTTATGCAAGAAGCAGATTCTGAGGGGGACATTTTAAAGGGCTCAGTCCCAACAATCAGGGCCAGATTTCCAAGAGCTCAGGAGCCAGAGTGCACCCCACACGCTGAGCTCTTCTGAGAACCTGGCCTGGAAAGGATCAGTAACTTCCCTCACTCTGCGAGACTTTGGGATGATCAAGTGCCAAGAGAACAGCCCAAACAGTTGATTTTTGCGGCAAACAAGACCAAATGCACCAGTTCACATTCACCCCTCCTGTAACTCAGCTGAAGCCAGTGAATGGAGCTACACCAGGGAAGCATTTGGCCCCTGGTGCATATGTCACTCATGGGAAATGTACGTCATCGTACCTCTCAACCAGATCGTACTGACCAGTTTTTCTGTTTTCCAGAAGTCCATGAATACGATGTTATTGAGGGGCAGAGTCTCTCTGTCCAGTGTCCATACAACACACAGCGTTACAAAGAGGAGAAGAAAGCCTGGTGCAGAAGCACAGTTCAGAATAAGTGGGAGGTCTTGGTCAACACTTATCACGGGTTCCTCAGCTATCAAAACAGCGCTCAGAAAGGCAGAGCCAGGATACATGACGACACCCAGAAAGGGATTGTTACTATCACCATGGAGAAACTGAAGGTAGACGATGCAGGGGTGTACTGGTGTGCGCTCTACCAGCCTCCCAATCTTTACAGAATAATTGAAGTTAAACTGGCTGTTACCAAGAGTGAGTATTTATTGGTAGGGAAAATGTGGGGTTTGGGATTTTTGTTTTGCAGATTTCAGCCTCTCACCTTCCCCACTCTCTCCTTCCTCTCTCTGACACTGAATCTGTATCACCTCCTCCCAGATTATTCCGGAATTCCCTCCACTCCCCCAAAAACCTTGTCCCTTTATTCACAGCTCACACTAGGAACTGATGTAGAACATCAGCTGGGATAAGGACTTTGGCCATGTGAATATTTTTGTTTTTAATGATCTATTTAAATATTCATTTCTTGTCTCCCCTTCACTTGAGAGCTGGTTCAATCATTTCAATCTAGGTATTTCTATGACCCACAGACTCATAGTATTTACACACCTGCATAGCAGCTGAGCATTGGTTTCCAGAGCAGCTAGCGGAGATACTATTCAATTAAAATTTTGCATTTTGATGGAGTAAAAAAAGCATTTTTTAAATTCTGACCCACATTTTAACCAGCTCCAGTTTCTAGTTATTCCCTCAAATTGACTTATTTTTTGTAATCAATGAAATTTAACAAACTATCTATAAGAGCCCAGCAACTTTCCCTGGCCTGTTTTTGAAGATGGCAGTCGAGCAATACAGACGGGTGGGGATAGTCATGTCCAAGGGAAGCCATCGGACATTAAGTCCATATCAGAATTAGAGCTGTGCAAAAAAATTGAATTTTTGGTTAGCTAGAAGTTTCGAAAAGTCAAAAACATTTCATTTCCAGCAAAACATTTTGTTTCTATTTTGAGATACGTCTCTTTTAAAATTGTTTTCAAAATAGAATTAAAGGTCATTTAAAAACAAAAAGGTTTTATTTTGAAGAAAAAAAGTCAATTTTTTTCAGAAATATGTCAATAAAACACTGACTTTTTTTTTTTAATGTTTTTAAGTTGGGTTTGGGTTTTTTGGCCACAGAACCCATTTGACAAAATCCAAGATGAATTCAGTAACTATTTTAGTCGACCCAAACCTGCTTTTTTCATCAAAAATTGTTTCGGTCCAAAAATGTCATCCTGCTTTAATCATAATACATGTGATTGAATACACAGTCTGTGAGCCCTGACACCTCATGGGAGGCCTGCACTGATGTGCAGTAATGGCCCTAGATGCTGTTGCTGTATCAATTTTTTGCATGTTTCTAAAGCTTTGTTTCTTTGGCTTGTTTCCTCATTACTGCAGGGAGCTGTTGCACAGGTGATGCTAATGGCCTGAGTCTCACATGCTGGCTTTGTCTAGGATTGTTACATGCTTCGTGGTACAGGAGAAGGTTTGCAATACTGAGCAACCTCCCCATCATACCATGTGCTTCTCTCAGTAGCAACAGTGTGAACGCTAGTGTAGACAAGGCTCAGGTGGCCACCCAGCCTTTTAACCGCTGTGTTTTTTAGCTTGTGCCAAGTAGGTCTGCATGACACAGCGCTCACAGCACGGCCAGCTTGTCTCCACTAGCCCTGCACCAGTGGTAGCTAGCACTGGTGGGAAATGTTACGGGATAAAGGCTGGTGTCGACAAGGCCTGAGGTATCGAAACTGTGTTTGTATTTGCAGCTACAACTACACGTGTCGTTCCAGTTACCTCAAGCACAGGTCACACCAGCCTAATCCTTAGCACAGCTAGTGCTGGGGTCAACCCAGCAGACAGCAGGTAAGGCTCCAACCCCTTCCTCTAAGACAGCCTCTGTGTTCGCACACCTCCAAGGGGTTCTTAGCAGCTGATCCCACATGCTCCTCTTTTCAGAGAGAAAGCAGCAGCCTTTCACAATGGCACTGAATGTAGCAGGCCTCCTTTAAAAGGTGCCAGATTAGTGCCCTCTTCCCACCTGCCACCCAGTGTTAAATGGCACATTGATAAAAATGGGCAGATGAAATTCAGGCCCCATCTTGTTTGAGAATTTACTAGTCTTGTCACTGTATTATCATTAACCCTGGCAGCTGCTGCTCTCTGGAGCAAGAGAAATGACGTTAAATCTGGATGCATTGAATCCAAACAGTTTCCTGCATCAGCCATGGTAAAAGCAGGGCTGCCCCTTCTCATTCCTGATGCCAGCCAGTGGCCATTTTGCTCAGTGGAAGCTGCGGAAGCCCTATTAAATATTTCCCCAGCAGTGTATCACCTCATTCTATTTACTGGTTTATTCAATTTAGGTTTGTTTTTCTTTTCGAGGTCTGTGATTTGTATTGTGGTGGCAACATGGACCAGCACCCCATTGCGCTAGGCGCTGTACAAAACAGAAAACAAAAAAGAAATTCCCTGCCCCAAAGAGCTCACAGTTGGGCTTCAGAGACTAGTTTGTTTTCACAGGGCCACAGAGAGAAGTTCAGGACCTTACTCCCTACGTCAAATGGCACAGACATGATTTAGCATTAAAGGAAGTAACATGTGATGAGAAAAAGCCACCGAGGTGTGCGAGCTATCCCAGGCCCTGGTCTGACGGCCGATTGGGTGTGTGCTAAGGGTTTTGGGAAGCATTGCACCTGCACTGTGTAGGTCTGTCTAACACAGACTGCCATTGCTTCCTCAGCCTCTCGAGTGAAAGAAACTTCATCATCCTCGGCGTGGTCTTGGGAGTCCTCTTCATCCTGGCGCTTATAGGCTTGGTGATATTGTACACCAGGAAATCCAAGCAGCTGAAGACAAGAGGTAAATGGAGAGCTGATGGGGCCTCACATGGTCTGTCTGTCACTACGCTCGGTTCCCTATTTCTCATTTGTTTTAACTTTGAGTGAATTCAGCCCCACTGACTGATTCCCAATGGGCAACCCTGGACAAGGTGGAGGGCAACCTGACTGCCCCAAGGGTTCGGAAGGAGTTCTTTCCCCTAAATACACATTGTGCAACTGGACAGGTGCATCATGGATATTTTTAAAAATCTTCCAAAGCATCAGACTGCAATCACTGCCACAGAAAATACCAGATTAAAAATAATTTGCCACATGAGATCAGACCCACGTCCCTAAAACTTCTCACAGGACATTTCATAAACTCAGCCATACTATAATTCCCAGGGCGGAATTGTAAACTGGGCACAATCTGCTCACTGGATTCAATGTAGTTTGGTCCCCACTATTACAATCTTCACTACCATTACTACTGGCCAGTCCATTCTGTGGCTTTCACCTACGCTGTGATGACATGAGGAATGCTCAGGATTGAGGGGGTCTTGTCTTGTCTTTATTAAAAGGTGATGGACAAGCTGAAGCCATCTATGAAGAACCCAAGGACGCCACAGTGGTAAGTGAAGCTATTGGAAACATAAAAGCAGTAGCGTGGAGGTTTCCAAACTGTGGTCTGTGGAGAGCTGGCTGGTCATATGGTGCTTACTTCTCCTTATTTTCAGTTGCTAAATTGCATTCAAAGAAACTTGAAATACTTTCTTAATGTTACTTTTCCACACAGGCAGTCGTCGTAGTTGCCACGAGGATTTTATGTGATTGCAAGTGAAGGGGAGGGGTGGTTTGTTTAATTGTGAACAGGAGAAGAAGTGTCAATGAAACAACCTCTGTACTAAAATGTGAGCTGCGTTCTGGCGAAGTTTGGGAACCCCTGCAATACAGTGTTAAATGCAGTACAGAGAGACAGAACAGTCTTTTCACCATAATGGGGCATTTGCTGTAAAGTAGAAAGAGATGGCACTGTAAGGTAGAGCAGACAGAGAGGATGTGAGAGTGAAACCGTGCACTACCGTTTACTTAAATAATCACTTTAAATTTCCACTCTCCCTCCACGCTGACAAGAGAGCCATGTGAGGATGGAAATGCCATTTCGTGAAGGATTTTGAGATTTCAAAGTTTCACAATGGAACTCAAAAGATTTCAAAATTCTCTATGAATGCAAACATTTAAAAAAAACATTTCTAGTCAACAGAAACATTTCATTCCATTGTCAACTTAAAATGTTATATTAAAAATACAAAATAAAAAATTCCAAATGAAAAGTCTTTTCAAAAAGAAGATTTGAAACAGTTTGTTCTTAAAACGTCAAAATGGGCCATTTTGAGAGTTGGAATCCCCCCCCCCCCAAATAATGTTGGCAAAATAGATGATTTCACAAAGCTATTCGATTTCACCAGGAACAGCATTTTCCAATGGAAAATGGTTCCATTGAAGTTTTTCCAACCAGCGCTAGCTGACAGTGATACCTGTTTATAATGGGCTTGGAGGCAAAACGTTGGGATGGTGTCTATACAAAACAGGAACCCAAGCCCCATATTGGTTTGCAGTGGTGTGGACTGGAATAGATCATGCTGGTTTGGAATAGATTGGATCAGACTAGGCAAGAGTGGAATGGAATGAACTGAATAGAACAGACTGGAATGGATTGGATTGGATCAGTAATTATTTGTATTGTGCTTTGTGTGACATGCTTTACAGACAAAGGTGCACAAGATGTCCCTGCTCTGAAGAGTGTGCAGAGAAAGTGGATTGAAAGTTGGGTTGGCCTAGAATGAATTGGGATTGATTGAAAATGGACCAGAATGAAAGGCTGGATTGGATTTGACTAGAAAGAACACATAGGAATAGGCTGAAATGGATCAGGCTTGAATAGAATGAGCTGGACAGCTAAACAGAGACAAGAGGCTACAAAACTCAGGTGTCCTATGATCCATTTGAGTCCTGCTGACTTGCCAGCAATTGGCTATGGCCCCTGAACTCTTTGCATTCTTTTCACCTTAAAAACCCCAAGGTTAACTTTCTCCGGGGGCTTTAAAACACTGGATGAGTGAGGGAACAGCAATAGGAAACGCTGCTGGAAATACAGTGAAGCAGAGAGATTCTAGGAGCATTTGGGAGGCAACAGGGTTAGAAGCCAGTGTTGAAAGGATGGGGTCATAGTAGGTATCTGGGAAGGAGATGGGTGAATAAGGCTCACTCTCTTTCCAGCTTCTCCACAACAGAGAGTAACGTGTTGTGTTGGTCTTTTTCTCCCTACTTGAGTAAATCTTGTGCTTTTGGAATCAGCTCCGCTCTCGCTGAGAAGTGTTATTCTTTTCTGTGCACAGTCTCAGGGCTTCGGCAACATGAACGATCCCAAGGACGACAAACAGGAGATACCACAAGACCTAAAATATGCCACCTTGGCCTTCAAATCCAGACCCAGTCCCCGGGAATCTGTCTACGACAACATCACGCCAAGTCGAGCTCTGGAGACACCCCACACCAGGTCCTCCACCGAACCTGTGGAATACGCCAGCATTTCACTCAAGCCATTAGCATCAGGCACCAAATCGTGATCTCGAGAACCCTGAATAGCCCAGCAGTGGAACAGAAGAGACTGAGCTGGAACACTGCTGGGGGGGGGGGAAGCGTGTGTGCATGCTAGAGAAGAAGTCTTTGCTATGTTCATATTTAACATGTATATTTAAAGACCTGCCTCAGGTCAGAGGCTTGCAGAGAAATTTATCACAGGCAATTGGGCAAAATGCAGCTGCTTTTGAAGAAACAGCACAGGAAGATCAAGAGAACGAAGGAGAATCCTCAGGGCTCAAGCTGGAGGAATATGGACGGGCATTGTCATCTCAAACCCACTCAAACATTGTATGTGTAAGATTCTGACTCAGATGTTACAGGGTTCAGCTTCCCCTTGGGAGAGTGACAGAGAATGAGCAGAGGGGGAAGGGGAATAAATATACTGATGATGTGTGAACTACATCATGTTTTGCTGAATATACCTCAATACATAGCTTGAGAGTGTTTGCAAGGGAGCAACGTGTAAGTATTAATCACCATCATCACGGTCTCTAACCTAGAATGACTGTACTGTACGAACCAAGGCCCCAGAACAGCCTTTCAGCTGCAAAAATGATATTTAGCATGCATAGACACATAGGGTGCCCAGATGTCCTGATTTTATAGGGACAGTCCCAATATTCAAGGCTTTGTCTTATATAGGCGCCTATTACCCCGCACCCCCTGTCCCGATTTTTCACACTTGCTGTCTAGTCACCCTATAGACACCTGTTAGTGCAGAATAGGTCATGCAAATACCAAACCAGCTCAAGTGCAGCGACCTGCATGGGTGTGAGGGAGACAGGGACAACAGGATTTTGGAATAAATTAAATGTTGGTTATCTTGGTGAGGCATCAGATCAGAAGCGTCTATTTAGAATGAAAAAATAGAGTGTACGGGCATGTGGGTGGGGCCTCAGGGCTGCATGTGTGTTGGGGGCATGTGTCTCTTCCTTTAGGGGAGGGGGCACAGGTTAAACAGGGCTGCCAGGGCTAATGACAGTGGCGAGTCTCGAAAGCTGGATCCTCTGGTGTTCCCAGCTCTAGGGCTGAACTTGTGCTCAGTGTTTGTCCACAGGCTCAGGACATACGTGCAGTCTCTATGGCCAGTTCACTGAAAACAGGTAGTCACCTGCCGCATTCAAAGCATTTATCAAGCATTTATCGACACCGCTTCCACACTGTGTGTTGGCACAGGCCTGTGACTCACCATCCCACCCCTGAATGCCCTGAAGGAGTGGCCAGTCATTCTCCGGCTGGGAAAGCCCTTGGGTTACTCAGCACCTCTGGCTGCATTGCTGACCTACCCAGGCTGGCTACTCAAACCAAGGCAACAGGGAATAGAGACAGCACAGGGAAACCAAGAAAGGAGTGTTTGAGTGAAGAAAAGAGATGGGACCGCACACATTCACCCAGAAGACGGAAGGGTGGGGGAGAATATGGGAGCTTTCCGAACAGAAGGGTCCCCCCATTACTCTAGCTGAGAGGACAGGCAGCTGAGCAGGTAAGAGGAAGTGCTAGATGAAGCAGCTAAATTGCAAGGAATATGACGGAGAAAATAGAGGAAGAAGAAGGATGAACACAGAGGGCAGATTTCGACACAGGCCCAAAATTAGAGAGGAAGTGGCAACAATCACTAAGGCTAAATAGTTAAGGACTCGGGTGCGCTGGGTGACTCAGAGGGTCATGCTGAGACTCCCGAGAATTTTAATTTATAGATCAGTGGTGCGAATCTGGACCAGGAGGGTAATGTCCAAGAGCAGATAGCTGGTCAGTGAGTGATGTGAAATGAGTTGGCTGGCTCTTAGCCCACTTCCCAGTGGACAGAAGTGTCCGCTTCCCAAAAAGTGCTGGCACCATATCTGGCTGTCCGAGCTCCACAGACAGGTGGCAGATTGAATGGGCCTGAACTACCCCTCACTCCAAAAGTAGGTCCCCTGCTCTCTTGGGGTTGCCAAGGGGAAGCCTATACTACCAATCTTCTGAGGATACATAACTGATTTTTTGGTTTTCTGGCTAACAATCAGGCACCTTTCGCCAGCAATAAAGTAAATGAAAAAGAAAGCAGAGCCTGAGATTCAGGGCCTGATTCTCCACCACTATGCCCCTTGTTCAGCCATTTTCACTGGTACAATGCAGGTGGAAAATACTACTCAATCAAATAGCAACACAAGGTGTGATCCTTTTGCATGCACAAGGAAGGGTCAGAAATATAACGGAGACAGGAAGCTCTGCAGGGCCTAGGGATGGGCAGGATCTTCAATTATCAGGAATGAAGGGAGTAAACTGATAGCGGGAATTTGCTGTAAACAGAGCAAGTCAAACATTTTTTATGGTGGAAAATAGCCTTTATTGGTCAACAACAGGCATATTTGTGAAAAAGTGTCCAGTTTTGTTGAAGATGTTCATGTTTTCATTGAAAAACTGGGGGAGTGGAGGGGGGAACAATCAAAGAAAATGTTCAACAATTTTGGTTGTTGTTTTAGCAGGGAAATTTTATATAGATATATATAAATTTCCTGACCCACTACAGTTGTAAATCACATTGTGCACAGGAGGAACAAGTTGCAGGGAATTACAAAAGAAAGTACAAAAATATTTGCTAAAAAAACCTAAACTAGACAATAATGGAAGACTTTGAACTAGAACTGACTATGGGGTGTACTTGCAGGGAAGTAGATGTTTCTGACCAACATGAGGCTAAACTCCTACCTGTTGCACTGAAAATGGACCTCTACATAGAAAGAACGAATCCTATAACATACTTATGGTCATGGTAGAGGGCTGTTTCTTTATATCCTATCTAGAAGAGAGAGGGAGAAAGGGAAAGGCTTGTGCATAGAGGATATATCTGCAGTCCTACCACCTCTGGGTGTGATGCTGTCAGCTCCTGTGACGCACCCCATAATGCTTTCAGAAATATGCTTATGAGTGTAAATATGACATAACTGGAATATGTTTTATGCTAGATATGCCATGTCATATATCTTTGCAAAGGTTATGATCTATGGAATATATTCATCCTATTTGTATGCATGTATCATTTTTATATATGAAGTTATGAGCATTGGCTCTATGCTTGTATTTAAAGTGTTTGCTGTAGGTAGCACATAAGGCAGATTTGGTCAACATAGTGTGAAGGGGTTATTCAAGTAATTGGGAGTACTTAACTAGCAATGGACTTTGGGAGACGCCAATCCACATCTGAGTTTTCCTGGGAACGTTCAAACTAACATGTAAACAATGGCGTCGGCCTACAAAAAGCGGAATCATTCATAGATGTGTGACTTGCCCAGGTGGCTACAGACTCCATCTTGTTGCGGTGATTTTGCACAGGAGAACGAAGGGGTTTCCACCCACAAGAGAAGGAATATAAAAGGCCTTGGAAACCCCTCCATTCTGTCTTCAGCTGGCTCAGAAGATAGCCTCTCCACCCTGAGATGCCTGAAAGAAACTGGAACAAAGGACAGTAACTACGGGGGTGTGAGTGATTGCTGGACCCAGACTAGGAAGGAGTCTAGTCTGTGAAAGAAGCTTATTGGAACATCTCTGAGGGTGAGATTTACCTGCATTTAGTTTCCTACTGTATTAGGCCTAGAGTTGCGTGTTTTTGTTTTATTTTGCTTGGTAATTCACTTTGTTCTGTCTGTTATTACTTGGAACCACTTAAATCCTACTTTTTATATTTAATAAAATCACTTTTTGCTTATTAATTAACCCAGAGCAAGTATTAATACCTGGGGGAGCAAACAGCTGTGCATATCTCTCTATAAGTGTTATAGAGGGCGGACAATTTATGAGTTTACCATGTATACGCTTTATACAGAGTAAAACGGATGTATTTGGGGTTTGGATCCTATTGGGAACTGGGTATCTGGGTGCTAGAGACAGGAGCACTTCTTAAGCAGTTTTCAGTTAAGTCTGCAGCTTGTGGGGGATGTGGTTCAGACCTGGGTCTGTGTTTGTAGCAGGCTAGCGTGTCGGGCTCAACAAGACAGGGCACTGAAGTCCCAAGCTGGCAAGGAAAATGGGCTCAGAAGTAGTCTCAGCACATCAGGTGACAGTCCCAAGGGGGTTTCTGTGACCCAGCCCATCACAGCTCCTATAAACTAAATAGCCTGGGGCTGAATCAGTACTTGGAGGAAAACCTCCAGCTAAAAGCAATGGAGGAGCTCAGATACCATGGTGATGGGCATCATGTGAATACCTAGCTCGTTAGATTAGTTAATTCCATAGGTGGCTCTCTT